AAAAGAAATAAAAATAAAAAAAATATAAAAGACAAGAGACAGGTAAAAAAATGATGAACTGAGAAAATAACTATAAAAACGATATATAAAAAATCTATATAACAATCTTCGTTTTTTTTATAGAAGATAGAGATCGAAAGTAAAAAAAAAAAATATAAACAAATTAAGGGACGAAATAGAAAAAATAAACATTTTAGGTGAAAGACAAAATAAATTAATATATTTTAATGAAAATTGTTAACAAATTATTAATAATTACGATGATAATGAAAACAGAAGACGGAATTATAATAGAAAAAGAGACTACTACAATGAAAGACGTGAGTACCGAAATAACAGTCTTTATACAAATAAGAGAGAAATTACAATAAAAGAGATACTCGTAATAGTCCTTACAACTCTAAATCTAACAATAGATATTATAAAGAAAATAGCAGAGTCAGAAATTACTATATAGGAACAGATCATTTCATGAAAAATAAACACAAATATGACAGTTCTAAGAAAAATAGTAGAGATAGAAATTTCGACAGACATATTGTGACGTATAATTAAAGAGAAAAACAAGACAGTAAAACAAGAAAAAGTAAGAACAACCGTAATAAAAACAAAGATAACATAAATCTAAATAATAGGTAATACAGCAGAAAGAATTGACTAGAAAGAACGCTAAAAAAAAATTAGAAAGACCTCTATGCGAAAGAATCTGAAAGAGTTACTTGATGTAAGTATAATGAGACAGGATACTACAAAGGCAATTTTAAAATTTTAAAAAAACGATTAGGAAACGAGTTAGAGATAAAATCGGAGCATCTAACTCGAAGAAACACTTACAAACTAAATAATATAACTTATAATGAGATACAAGGATTATAGAAAAATAAGTAAATACATTTTATTAAAATATAGTACGACCAAAAATTAAATAAAACTATTTTTAATAAAAATCTAGAAATAAGTGAAATTGAATTTAAAACCTTGTATTTAAACAAGAGACGGAATTTCAAAACTTTTTACTCAGCAATAATATAAATGCTACGTGAGCGTGTGACTATTTAGAAATAACAGATATTTTTTTACCAGACAAAAAATGAGCAATAGGCCACTGCATCAGCAAATATCTCGCTATATTACAGGGAATGGCGGTAATATTTAAAAACAAATTTAATGATATTAAACAGTTAATTAATCAAATTAAAAATGTTAACAAAATAGCTTACCAAAATCCAGACGACCAATGGTTATTATATCTTATTATAAAGAACAATTATAATGATAAACCTAAATTTTACATTATTTTTAAAACTTTAAAAATACAAAACAATTTTGCGTAAAAAATAAAATAAAAAAACTTAGCATTGCCTAAAATATGTTCGGGCTTGGACAGTGAAAAATAGTATACCGTTTTCAATATGATCGAATTTATATTTCAAAATACCTTTATAAAAATTAGAATACTATTTTTACCCGAAGAAAAAGATAAAAAATGTTTAATAACTATAACCAAAATATGTATCTTATTAATGACAACGGAAATTATAGTTTAACCGTTGAAAATTATGAACTAAAAGATAAATATTAAATAACACAATTATGAACCAAAATCAATCAATAAACATATCTGCACTCAGTGGTGCAACCAAGATCGATTTTCGTGGGGGGAGGTTGTGAATTTGGAAAAAATAAGCATTTTCTGCAGGTGTTTGGTAGGGATAAAGAAGTATGATTAGGTTAGGTTTATGAGTAAAATATTTAAATTACAAATTAAACTGTTTAACTTCTATTTCATATTGTGATACCACAAAAAAAAAATATACAATCCACTATCGAGAAATCGTAGTAGTAAGGTAATTAATGTTATAAAATTGAATCAAACGTTACAAAATGTTCCATATTTTCATGTTATTATTGTTATTAATTATAATACGAATAATATTCATATTTCATATCAATCAGCCAATTACCGTCTTCAAGATAAACTATTTTTTTCCTACGTAAGATTTGTAAAAAGAACTCAGAAAAATTTTGAGAGGGGGACACAACCCCCATACCCCACCCCTAGTTGCGTCACTGCTTGCACTTATGTAAATAAAAATTGCAATACAAGAGTACCAATAATAATAATAATAAAATACGAGGTATTAAAAAATTCGCAATAATAGTCACCGGATCATATATTTCATGCATAGATTTTTCTTTAATTAATATATGGAACACATTAAAAATGAGGAAAAAGTTGTTATAACAGGAGCGGAAAATACAAAATTAGTAGTTAAAACTAATAATAATACATACGATATTACTATGTATGTAATCAAAGGACTATACTGCAAAATATTATTAGGAATCGATTTTAACATAAAAATAACTTAATCATTAAGTTTAAAGATTAAAACTTGGAGTTGAATAAAAACGCATTTTTTTATTAACAAATTTAATTTGATATTTACTATGGTATTAAGAGTATGTTTCAGGTATAATAATATTCAATAAATATTATTGCTAGTTAACTAGTTAAAAATGCACTGTCATACATTCTAAATATATAATTGATATTTAATAATATGAATAAACATAATAATAATAATAATATGCCTTCGAGAAAAAAAAATTGATAGCTGCTGCAGGATTGATGGTCGTGTACCATTATACCTCGAAGAGAAAAATGAAGATTAAATGGGACAAAAACTGGCTCATTAGAAGGGACTTGTTTGGTCATATGCCACTATTAAAATAGTTGAACGAATTGTAAAGAATTATTATTTAAAAAAAGAAAATTCAATTAAAAACACTGAGATTTACAAATTAATACATTTAAAAAAAATCTTATAGAAAAATTATTATCAATAAATAAAAATTTCTTATCGATATCCGCCGGACCCAACCTTTTTAATTAGTGGAGAAGCGAGAGACTTAATCCGTCGGACTAAATCTGCCAGATTTTCAGTTTTCATGGATTCAAACCTTAGAACACCATAAACGGTAGGACTTTTTAGAAGATTTAGTCCATCACAGACAAAACCGTCTCAAAATCTTCTCGTGTATGGGCATCTAACCCTCTTATAAATATAAATTATAAATATTTTATATTGTTATATCATAATGGCCGTGCATGAAAAATTTAAAAATAGATTTTAGGTTTCGGTTCGGCTGATATTCCACTCCCACCCCCGGAATCACCAACAATTATTATTTATAACTTCTTATACGACGTCAATTATACCAATCGATTAATAAAGCACGGTTATAAGTTATAAGTTTACAACCACGTATCAATTATTATCATAATGTCGTGTAATATGGTAATATATTTTATTATTAATGTGTTAAATTGGCTGTTAACTTGGTAGATACATTTGCGTATGTTCAACGTTTTGTATTTTATCGTTGACTGTTGTGTATTTTTATGGTGATTTTCAATATCTGCCTGTCTATTAAGTTTGTGTATTGGTTTTTGAAAATGAAAAGCAAAAGAAAGCGTGGTGCCAAGAAAATGAGAGAAAGAAAAAGAAAACTTTTAAAAAAGTCAAGTGAGATCTGTGTGAAGATTAACCAATGATTTTCATCAAATGTGCCTTATACTCATGGTAACTCTGGTAAGTAAATTTAATTTGAAGTGTACCTCACAAAATTGTACATTTTTTTGTTTGAAATGATGGTGAAAATAATAATAATTATGATTATTATTCAGGAACCTTTAGAGTATCTAAAGCATAGTATTCTAACCATACTACTCAGTGTTCACTGATCTGATACTGTATACAATCACGATACATATGCTTCGAGTACCGGATAAAAATAATTATAAATGTATAAATAGCAAGTTTTCGTAAAATTATCTGAAAAAAGTCGAGTATTCCGTCACAACTTCGAAACGTGCGTCCAACCGAGAAAAAGAGCAAGAAAAATAGTACAGGTGTGAGTGGCGATTCGATGAAAATCCCACGACACCGTAGGGATAGCGACAGATTTAGGTCAGTCGGCCATCGATCGGCTGTGGCGGTCTAGTGGCGCACATGGAAGTGTTCGGACCACATTGGAGCAGTGCGTACCCCCTCGTAGTGCGTTGCGAATGTAAGACCACCCGTGGTCGAGGGCGTAGGGTAGGGTAGGTGAAAATTCGAAACGAACTCCTCCGTCATATACCAGTGACGTATTTTTAAAGATGGTTCGCAAACCCGTACGGATTTAATACGTTATATTAGCGACTGTGAATAGTTTTTCTACCATGTCAATATAAAGTCTTAGATTTTTTTTTTTTTTACCTCCGTACCTATTCGGACGCATCCAGCGATTTGAACTCTAACTAAATGACAATCGCGTGTTTTAGTACAGGGTTGCTGAGGGTGCCTAGCACTGAGCAACCCCAGACTTGTCAACGATGTCCATGACAATAGCTTTATCGAAAATGTCATTATTTCTATATTCTCGTCGACGATTTTTAAGCCCCGCATGAGCATCGTTAGACGATCCGCTTTTAATTTTCAATTTGCACCCAGTACCGTTTGAATAACATATAATATTATTATGATACGGGCAAGTAAACGGTGGGGACACTTAACATTTTTTTTTTTTATGAACCATACCGACAGACGGTTTCGCGTGGCTTTCAAAGATCCTCTCGCCACCCGACCGCACTGCTGTACGGCGCGAAACCGGCTATAACGTAGGTACGTGCGTTCCCGTCGCCGACGAAGCGGGACCGCAGTGCGTGCGCAATGCTTACGGCGACGCGGTCGTTTGGTAAGCGCCGCGCGGTCACACTGCCGGGCGAGCGTGCACCGCTACGGTACCGCGCGTGCGCAAGGTTCGCGGGGGACTTTTTTTTTTTTTTTTATTATTACTACCACGATTTTACTACAAAATTACGCACCGTAGGCACCGCTACGGCGGCGGTAGACGGTGCGCGCGTGGGAGAGCGAGCGAGACCGTCCGACACTCGGCGCACCGTCCCTCCTTTGCGCACCGCTCGCTTTGTGCGCCGGGCCCCAGTGCTCTGGCGCGCGCCGCCGACGACGACACAACACGTACGCGGCGCGCCGCCGTCGATCCAATCAATTGTGAAACAACAGTGTACCCCCACTCTCCGACTCCACCGCCCCGCGTCGTACGGTCGGCTGCCGCGGTACGCGCACGACCCGCACGTACACACTGGCGCGCTGTACTACACATTTCGTGCACCACGCAAGCATAGCGATACGCTGTAGCTGTCCGTGCGTTGTCCGACGACACCACCGTCGACATCGTCCGTAGCGCGCGCGCGCCGAATCCGTCTTACCCTCGACCACCGTTTGTGTGTGCGCGTTTTTTTTTTTCGATTTTAATTTTATTTAATTATTTTTCAACCATTTATATTTCATTGTTATCGTGATACGCACTCAACTATCTATCGTTTAAAGCATGTTTTCTTCTGGTCTTTCTCTCTCTCTCTCTGTGTGTGTTTTCGATTTAGTTTTCGTTTAATATCATAATTAATATCGACGCCGTACCGTAAACACTAAACGTTTACTCGTGTCAAGTGTGCGTGTGTGTGTGCGCGCGCCCGCGATAGAGTTGGCCGTTTTCACACATTATTTGTTTTCGAAAACTTTGTTGAAAACTACCCCGAACGCTTTTCACTGTAACTTTTATTTTATCGCGCACAGTCGTATACGTGTGTGTAAACATCGTTGCCTGGCCGTCGGTACACAATCGTATCCGATCGTCGCGCGTTATTATGTCGTTGTCACGCGTCGGCGGCTGTCGCTCCTGCCGCTGCTACGACCGAACAACAGCGGACCGTCACCGTCTCTCCGTCGACGACGGCTGCCTATACTGCTGCCCACTCGTCGTCCACGTCGTTGTTTCGGCCGATCCACAACGGCCGTAGATTTGTCGCGACGTCCACAACGGGTACGTATCACTGCGTCTCTAGCGTTTTCGTATCCGCTGTAGATCTTGCCCACCCGTGTACACCGCCTACGATCACCCACATATATCACCCGTGTTCTTGCGTATGAGTTCGTGTCGCGTTTATGTGTACGATCGTATAATATATGTGTTTACGTTCGTGTGTGTATGTGTGTGTGTGTGTGCGCGCGCATAGTATTCGATTCATTCATCCTTTGTTCCCGCAAGCCAATACCTCTAATCATCTGTTGCACTGGTACGCGTTCTGGTGATAACACGCACGCACGCACGCACGCACATCTACACTCAGTACTCACGAACACCTATTCGCGAGATGATGGATCAATCATCGGTCGAATTTACGTTCCTCATAGATTGTCGTCGTCGTACACGCCAGGTCTTACATGCCGCTGTTCATTCATGTTCGTCTCCTATTGCAAAATTCACGTCGTGTTTCTCTCGTCTAAACAATGTGACGATTATCTATCTTATCTACACTGTCGTTCTTCGTATACCAATCACTCATCCCTTTGATACGTTTCACCGAATAGGATCATTTTTTTTCACCAACTTGAATATTTTCATTGACAGAATTTTAATTTTGGCTCGAATTATCATAAATTTACTTTTGTCATAATTGCATCGAATACATTATCATATACGACACACGGCAATGTACGCTTTATTCCAGACTTAATATTTAGGCTAAAGTGCGTACATTTTTTCTTTAAGATTAATGTAAAAATTGAATCTAAATATATATCTGAGAAAAAATTACTCATAGCCTTGATAATATTTTATTCAATATGATGTATTGACTTGAAAAAAATTATAAACTATCTTTGGCTTCAACCTTCAACTTAAGATTATATCTACAAGCATATTTATTTTACCCATTTCTTATTTCAAGGTAAATATTTACTGATTCTTAGTTTACATATCCTAAACTGAACAAAACAAATGTTTTATTTTAATAATTAGGTAGAATTTATAATTTTTTTGCTTAGTAAAACGTTCAGCTTTACAATTTTAATTACTTATGATATTTAATTTATACAACTACCTAGTAACTCTAATTTTTTTTTCTTCTGTAATAAAAATTGTTTTTTGTGCTACATTTTCAATCCTATACCTTTATAAACATTTATTAAATGTGCATTAAATTACAGTTCTGTTATTGTACACAATTTACATACTGTATTATGAATCACTGAGGAGGAGCTTTAAAATAGCCAAAAATATTGTAGCTAACATTATTTCAACCGAAAATATTTTAGCAGACACATTTTGTCCAAACTGTATTTTAGCTGACACATTTCGTCTGAACTTTTTTTAGCCAACACATACTTTGTCTGAACCGTATTTGTCATTTGAGCATGGAAATATCATACTGTGGTAATAGTTTATACCACGGTTTTAGATAGTATGTTATGATAGTCAAATATGTTTTAGTTAAAACCGGCGAAAGCTATGGGTGACCGGGGTGCCAAACTATTATTATTAAAAATTATTTTTATTTAATTTTTTTTTTTTTTTTTTAATACGCATAACCAATCAAAAATTTTATAAGTTAATAACTTTATTACCATAGATGTAATTTAGGGGAGCTTGGGTGTGCTTAGTACCCACCCCCATTTTCAAAATTGTACCCCAAAATGTGTTTATGTTAATTTACATTTAAATACTCATTACTCATTATGTATAGAAAAACAGAGTTTTTATTGTATAAATATATACATTTTTTTATATATAGTTTTTTTTTACACCGGGAAAAACTCTTAAAATTTAAAAAATGATCTATCTAAAGTACCACCGCATGCCAATTTAAAATCTAAAAAAGGTCCTAGAAAAAATTTTTGAACCAGTAATTCTATCGGAAAAAGTGTTAAAAAAATAAGATAGAAAAATCATTATAAAGCCATTATATTCTTGGCTTTAGTCAGAATCTAAAAGTGATCATGTGATGAAACATTTGTGTTTACAGACAGGTAATTTGTTATACGCGCAATAAAAATATAAAATCAAAGTGAACAATTTAAATTTAAAAATATTCTTATGTTAACCAATTATTATAGTAACTGTTGAATTGTATGGGTTGCGGGTGTCTATAACCATTAAGGAACATGAAAAAAATAGAAGGATTTTAGCACCCCCAGTTTTTTCATTGAAATTGCGCTCCCGTTTATAACAATATTATATAATCAGGTAATAAAGTTTAAAGTTACAATACAAAATACCTACTATAATTTTATTTAAACTTACTAAAAAACTTAATTTTACTACTACTCAAACTAGGTAAGGAGGAGATTAAGGGCGCCAAAACATCTTAGATCATGTTATATCCTTATCTATAACCTAATCAGTAATGTGGTATAAGATAGTAAGAGAACATATTTTTGGAGTATCGATTAAAATATTATTGGCTCAAATATGGATTGGCTGATATATTATCGGCTATTATATGCGCTCCCTCACTGAGACCTACAAACCAGTCGACCATATCATGAAATTGTTATTAATTATATTAAAACTTTTCTCTGGGTTTCATTTATAAAAAATGTTTTAATGTTTATCACACCTCAAAATCCATATTTTTTATTTGGTATATGATATTAACTATTTACTATTTTTTTATACATTTTGGATTTTTCTTTCTATAAAAACATTTTCATTAATTATTTGCACTTTAGTTAACCCTTAAAAATAATATTTTTGTCTTTTTTCAGTCAGTATGAATATGAAATCCAAATAGTCATTTTTATTATTCACTTTTTTTAATACTTGCAAAAGCTATTATATAGATATATATTTTTTTCTAAATAAATATTTCATTAGTTTGTACACATCTGTGTTCATACCGTTGCTGAAATTTAAATTTATTATTAAGCTACCATTCCCTTTTATGCAGGTTTATATTATGATATGTATATAATTATATATTATATACATACAAATTGTACTAATTACACATGTATAAATTGAATTTTTATTTATGTCTGTTAATAATTGGTTAAACTATAGATTCACCAAAACTGCTGGTATAAATACATTACATACAACCTAATTATGTTAACCATGGATATTTTTTAAATTTTATATTTCATGATTATTATTTGAATAACTTAACTGTAGAATAATGTTATTCATTGATTTTCATTTGTAAATATTTTATTTCTGGTAGTATCTATAACTTAAACACTAATTTATTTCAAAAATATCACATCAATTTTGATTGGTAATAAATTATCATTATACTTTTATGACATATTTTCCCACATATTTTTTCATTTTACAACACTTTTTCAATTAATTGCATTTACTTTAAAATAATATTATAGTTAACAATTTAATGCATATACAACTATATTTTAAAAAATAAATTACAATTACAATTTTTTTTTTTCTTTTAATTATTGATATTTAAAATTTTATACATTGGATCCTAATAATTTTGTTTTTTTAAAGAGTAAAATCATGTTAAAGCATTTATAGTTTAGATATAGTAAGTGGTGAAGTGATGGAAATTTAACTGTATTTATTCTACTCTAAATTTAAAATGCTTGTAAATAATTAAGCATTGGTTTAAAATACATAGTTGTGATTTAATCTTTTTAAAAAGTTATTCTGCTTCAGAAAATAAAATATTAAAATTTTTCAACTGATCAAAAATTATACTTAAATAATTATTAAAGGAAAAAAAACTATAAACTTGAGTTTCTTTTTAAATAAACGCAACAATTACAATTTAAAAAAAATAATAATATAAATGTTATGTCTTATTAAAAAGTCATTAAAGTATAGTTCTATGTAGTTCCAAGTTTGTTTATAGATAGTAAAATTATTAATTATTCCAAATTAAACCATTAAAAATTTATGAACATTGAGTATTAGTTTTAAATAAATTTAATTTATTTTAATGAATTTCTTAAATAAGTATTCATCATTAAGATATTGTATTTATTTTACTTGACATTTGTGGTATTATCAGTTGCTGGTATCAATATTGATGCTGTGGCGTTTCCCAGTTATTTGTTTATAAATTGATCAACTAAGAATTAAGAATCATACTTAGTTCCGCCATATGCGATTTAGAAGAAACTACTAGTCTACATATAATTAAAACTGTAGGTAGTAAATAAAATAAATAAGGACATATTATTAAATTGCTTCTTTTTTAAGTTTAATATATTTAAACAATTAAATAAGGCGTCCTATATTTTAAGTTAAAGTTATAGTTAAAACCGTTAATGATTCTTTTTATTCATTATTATGATATTTTTTGTTTTATATCAGTTAAATACTTTTTTATGTAATAAAGTATTTTACTTGCCTATTAATTAATTTAAATTTTTATTTAAGACTATTTGTTATTGTTCTTATATTTTGCTAACAATTCATTTTGTTATATTAAGGTAAATGTAACTTATATTGAAAGTTTAAAAAAAAGTTTAAAAATTTTAAAGTTTAACAAATTTAAACATTAAAACTCATTCTATGTATTAGTTCTTGGTATTGATAACAATAATAATGTATTGATGGTTTTTACAGATTTAAAGAGATGAGAGATTGCGGACAGGCATACACTGAAATCAACCCACTAATGAACCCTCACGACACCATGGACCTAGTCAATTGTCATTCAAACATCACAGTCAATGTTAATAATAATAATCAAACTGCAGTTAAAAAATTGCCTAAAAAACGAAAATTTGATTTGTCTCAACTTGAGGAATGTGATCCTGTTTCCGATCCATTACCGCCTGTTCAAAAACAATGCAATACTAGTTGTGTAGCTAGTGTTGTTGTTGTCCCACCTCAGTCTATTGCTGTTGATTATTCTAGACTTGATGGATTTAATAGACCTAACTATGCTGATGTGCCAGTTATTGTTAAAGATCATTTGGAGCAAAATGAAGAGACTAAATGTACAAATGGACATGATGAAACATCGAGGCTTGATGTTGACTTACAGGAGTGGACTGATCATAGAGTATTAGCTAAAAGGGATGGAGTTTATTTACCTGGACTAATTAGAGAAGCAACATCAAATGGCGATGTATGGATAGAATTTGATTATGCTGATGAAGGTCAGCGATATGTTTTATTCAAAGATGTTCTAAATTCTAGTAAATATGATGTTATTAGTGATGCTAGTCCATCTCTTAGCCAAGTAAGTTACATATTATTTGTATTGGTTAAATTTTAATTTAAAAAAATCTAAGATACCCAAATTGTTTAACTTAATTAAATATTAATTTATGACATAATTGTATCTCATATTATTTTAAATAGTTTATTTCTAATTCTAACAATGATTATTTTTTTAATTTAGTAATATATATAAGTAATATTTTACTAATTTTCTATTAATAAAAATTATAATTAAAAACCTTTTATGATGATACATATTGGCATACATGAATAAAAATGATCATTTATATTTTAAATACAAGTTATTAGTAAAACTAAGTGGCTTTACAATAATAGGGAATTTAAATCTTTAATGATAAACAGTATTATAATACTGAGGACTATTAATTTCTTACTAAGACTGCTTTACTTTTATTAAAACAATTTGGTAAGAAAGGTATTTAACAATGAGTTAATTAATTTGTCTTTATTAAAAATAATTAAACTTTTAAGTTTTATGTGGTAGATATATTGATTGTAAAAAAAAAATTAAAAGTGTTTTAAATCTATTGTTATAATATTTATTAGTTAATAAATTTTTCTATATTTTCTAGGTTAATATTAGTGCAAGGGTATGTGTTCGAATTACTGGTTCTCAACCAGATGATGTACATCTGGCTCCTCGAGTATTTATTGAAGGAGTAGTACTCAAAATAATAACTAGCCCTGTGCGATTTGTTGTAAATATTGTATCTGGAAACAATGAGGAATATGTTGTAAAAAGAGCAGATCTTCGCTTACTTTTACCACCCTGGTGGGATGAACTTGAACATGGTATACCTAATGGTCATATTCCATTAATACGAGAACCTACGCCTCCTCCTATGACTAATGGGCCGGTTGATTATTACCAAACTGAAGTGACTTCTCCTTTACCACCTTTAACTAATCGTCATTTTGATGATTTCTGTGAAAGTGATGATGATCTTCGAAGAGAAGATATATTATTCATGTCAGATGCTGGTAAGTAAAAATAACCATCTAAGACTTCTCTATAAACTTGTTTCGTTTTCATTAAATTCAACTAAATAAATTAAATTTTATTTTTTAATATAATTGTATTTAATCACATTTTGTGTAGAATTTTATTTTAATTATCAAGAAAAAAAATGTAAGTGTATTACTTCTATGTCTCAGATTATAAAACATTTTATATTAAATTGACTATAATAATAATCCTATATTTATATATTTTCGATAATGATACCAATGTTATAACTAGTATCTAGAAATAACAATTTAAATCTCATTTATATAATAAGAGGCTGACCAACATATTGACAGTATTTTGTAAAGTAATGATATGAGTACTATAAATTAGATTTTACATTGTATAAATGGCATATTATATTAGTGTATATATACTTTTTTTTTTCTTTGTAGATGCTGGAAAATTATCAGGAAGTAGCAAGAGGAGCAGTATGCAAAGCAGAGGTAGTACATGTAGTATGTTAGATCATGGTAGCACTACACCTAGATCAACTCCAGCTACACCAAGATCTCAGATCACATCTCCTCATAAATATAAGAAAGGAGATATTGTTACTACACCAAGCGGAATTAGAAAAAAGTTTAATGGAAAACAGTGGCGGCGTTTATGTTCTAAAGAAGGTTGTTCTAAAGAGTCTCAAAGAAGAGGTTACTGTTCTAGGCACTTAAGTTTGAAAGGAGGCGGTAGCATAAGATCATGTGCTTCAAGTAGTACTAGTTTTACAAGGTATTTGGTTTTAATTATTTGTTTTTATTATTTTGAGTCGCGAAAACCAATTTTATATAATTTCAGAGGAAATCAAAGTACTATAGATGGGGATGAAACTTCACGAGAATCTCAAACTTCACCCAGTGCTTCTGAACGACGATTGACTGGTCGTTTTGACCCTGATGAAACAGAAGCTGCCAACATGCTTGGTACACAACGTAATAATTAATCTTTAGCCTTCTTTTGACTTGTTCAACTTCACATTAGCCAAATATTTAAGATACTTTTACTATTTATTTATTTATTACTATATTTATTTTAAAAGTTTCTATTTTTTGTAGTTTCATTAGGAAGTTCAAGATCTGGAACTCCATTATATTCTTCTCCTTGTACTTTGGGTAATAATAATACACAATCACCACTTACTGTTGGATCCCGTCAAAATATGTTCCTACCCATTATTTTGCCGACAAATCAAAATTATCCTTCCTCAACACCTACTGGAAATGGAACTACAACCCCACCATCCACTACCAACACCCCTAATAATCAATATAGACAACAACAACTTGTCAAGTATGTAAAAATAATTGAAAATAATTTTAATATCCATTTTGAAATTTATTCCAAATTCATAATATTAATTTTTTTAAAATCTGAATTTTAGGCCAGAATTATTGAGACCAAAGACACATCATGGCTTACACGAGTCAATGGCTACATCCAGTCAGACTAGTGTAATACGAATTTCACCACATACAATACAACCCAAAACAAGTATTGCTGTCAATAATTCTCAAGCACAATTATGTTGGAGAGGAATTGTATCGTCTCCTCAACAAGCAAAACATACAAATCAATCTACAACTCAATGGCAAGTTGAAAGACATCCTAGTGTTGTAGTGTCATCACAACAACACGGTCATATTTTAGAAAAAGCATTGACCACAGTTGAAATGGTTAGTTAAATATTTATGTTAATAAAAATGCATCTAATTAAAAAATATTTATTGAAATAGAATGGTAGTGATGCATACAGTAGAATTTCTGAAAATAATGAAGCTTTCAGCAGAGATAATAACCATATTGTTTTCCAAGAATCTGTGATAAAAAAAGAACCATCTGTATCTAGTATACCATTTTCACAACATTTAGTGTATAACACTGGATATCATCAAGTACAAAGTTTTATTATTTCAATATAGTGATAAATTATAGTTGTAACTCTCAACTTTTTCATTTTAGCGAGTACAAAACCTTCCAAACTTGATCACAACACCATCAGTAGTTACTAAACATTATACTACTCTTCAAAATGAGTATCAGGATTATCAGAATAAGAATTCAGTACATCAACAAGTCATAGTTCATCCTACTGAACTATTACCTGTGTTACCTGTTATGGATGAAAGAAAAGAAGAACCACCTGAACACAATCCATCGCTCATTAGTAATTATAATTTAATGTATTTAAATAAATTGAAGCTATAAATTTACGTTTGATTTTAGATAATGAAAATGGAAACTTAACAGTTTATTCTTGGGACACATTATTACCAATACTTAATTCAGAAGAAGTAGTACAACCAAACATTGCTCCAGTGCCAAAGTCTCTCACTCCTCCCTTATCAGCACCGCCTATCTTAACTCCACCACCTGCGGGATCTCCAGATGTTGATGATGATGATGTATTTGAGCAAGAACCATGTGATACCGATGATCAAAATGCTATTACTGCAGCTGGCAAACGTAGAACTCAATCTCTTAGTGCTTTGCAAAACACTAAAGAACCACAAAGTCCTCTAACAAAAGCTAAAGATCGTATACGACGACCAATGAATGCATTTATGATATTTAGTAAGAGACATAGAGCTTTAGTTCATCAACGACACCCTAATCAAGACAATAGAACTGTGTCAAAGATTCTTGGAGAATGGTGGTATGCATTAGAACCTGATCAAAAACAAAAATATCATGAATTAGCTACTGAAGTTAAAGAAGCCCACTTCAAAGCTCATCCAGAATGGAAATGGTGTAGTAAAGATAGGAGAAAGTCAAGTGGCAGTGGTCGTTCTAAGTTAGGATCTACTGATGAACATACCCCATTAGATCTTGATCCTATGGTAGAAGTAACTTTAGAAATGTCCGATGAACAAAAAGTTCAAGAAAAAAAAGATACCGATGTGGAAATGAAAAATGATTCTGAAGATGAACAAATGGTTAGTACTTCGTTTTGTTTTTTTTATCTAAAACATTTTATTCTTTATTTTTCATCAAAGGTGGTTGCTGAAAGTTCTGAAATCGATCTGAAATGTAAAGAAAAAGTAACTGACTCTGATACTGAATCACAAAGTGATGCCGAGCCATTACATGAAAATAAAACATTTCCACAACAACGGTTTAGTCCTGTAAAATCAACTAGTTCTAGTGAAGTAACTTGTCGACCAAAGCCCATTAAAGCTAGGTAAATAAAACATAATTCATATAATGTTAATCTATTATTGAATTTTAATAATTTATAAGTAGGAATGAAAATGAGAAATTTTTTGATGATTTATATTTGTCAATTTAATTAAAAATGATTATTCATTTTGTAGCTCTAACTGAAAGTGATATATCTTTAAAGTATTTATAAACCAAATATATAATATAAGTATATAACTTATTAATATATAACTAATTAGGTTGATGAAAATTATGTTTTTTAATTAATGAAATTTAAATAACAGTTTTATATGATGAAATATATCTGCATAAATGAATAAAAATGATTATTCATTTTGTATTAGCTCTAACTGAAATTGATACTTCTTCAAAGTATTTATAAACCAATGGTTTAAAATAAGTAAATAATTTATATATATAAAACTAATTAGGTTGAAGTAAATTATGTTTTTTAATTAAAAAAATTTAAATAACAGTTTTATATGATGAAATATATCTGCATATATGAATAAAAATGATTATTCATTTTGTATTAGCTCTAACTGAAAGTTATATTTTTAGTAAAGTATTTATATAAAAAAAGGTATAAAGTTATAATATAAGTTTATATTATATTAATTCTGTTAATCAAGTACAAGATCTAGATATTATTCTGGCAACTGATTTATTCTTTAATGTAACTATAAATAAAATATATGGGACCAGTCTTCGTTTGTTAGGGTTCATCAAACGTACATGCCATGATTTTAATAACCCTTTATGTTTGAAAGTATTATGTTGTTCATTAGTAAGATCATCATTTGAATTTGGCACGGTATTATGGAAATCAAATCAATTACAATTTATCAACAAATTAGAAATAGTCCAGAGAAATTTCCTCCGTTTTTATGCGTATAAAACCATGAGATTAAACCAAAATATGGATGTGATTGCAAACTTTGCAGGTTTAAAGTCACTAAAGACCAGACGATTAGTTTTTGATGCTAATTTTGTTTATAAAATCTTGAATGGAAAAATTGACTGTCCTGAACTATTACAAAAAATTGATCTTAAAGTACCCTCTTTCAATTCTAGACATAATCCTCTTTTTGCTATACAACAATCAAATAAAAAATTTTGATTTTTTTTTTTTTTTTTGATACTTGCACCACGTTAAAGACTTGTATTAGTAATTCAAATAATTATTATAAATTTTCATTTAATAATTATTACTGCATTCCTACCTCTTGGGGTGTTTGTTTATTTATTGATTTTATAACACTAAATATTATTATTATTATTATATATCTAAGTAGATTAGGGAAAATTATATTTTTTATTTTAAGATATTATAATAACAGTTTTATATGATGATTTTGGCATTTATGATTAAAAATGATTATTCATTTTGTATTAGCTCTAACTGAATGTGATATTTCTTCAACGTACTTTTAAACCAATGGTTTAATATAAGTAAATCATTAACACATACAAAACTAATTAAGTTGAAGGAAATTATGTTTTTATTAAAGACCTTTAAATAACAGTTTTATATGATGAAATATGTTGGTGGTATGAATAAAAATGATTATTCATATTATATTAGCTCTAACTGAAAGTTATATATTTTTAGTAAATTATTTATATATAAAAGGTATAATATAAGTTAATATCTAATTAAATTAGGCATAATTATATTTTTCATTTTAAGATATTAAAATAACAGTTTTTTATGATGATTTATTTTGGCATTTATGATTTAAAATGATTATTCATTTTGTATTAGCTCTAACTGAATGCGATATTTCTTCAAAGTATTTATAAACCAATGGTTTAATATAAGTAAATCATTTATACATATAAAACTAATTAAGTTGAAATAAATTATGATTTTCAATTATTTAAATTGGTTAGTAATTTTTTTTTTTTTATATATATATATATATAGATTAGTATCTACTAGCTCAACGGATTCTAAGTATCAACCAAAGGCAGTTAATTCTAGAGAACCAACAACACCAATCTTATATTCATACCATTCTCCTATTAATCCTGCTGGGGTTTCTCCATTCCAACCCACTGGCGGAGCATTTAAATTAATGCCATCTTCACCAAAAATTAAAAATCCTGAACAATTTTCTCAACAAACGTCCGAATCAACTTGGACATCATCTGGATCTGAAACTTGGAATAAAACTAAATTAATCAACACTAACGCTTGGGCAGCATCAACTGCTGAATGGAATAATAACAAACCAACAACTACAACTGTTAATTCAAAAATTGTTGTTACGCCTTTATCTCAACAAAATATATTTCATTATACTCCTTCATCAAACAAGGATACTGAACAAAAGCCTGCGTGTTCTGTTAGACAAGTGATAGGTGCACGTCCTGTGTTAATACAGACAGCAGCTAAGCAATCTGGATATCAACAGTCATTAACTTTAGCATTTTTAAATTCGGGAGACTCAGCTACTTCTCTAGTCACCAATTTATTAGTGGCTAAAGGCAATGAAAATGGAAATCCATCAACAAGGAACAATGAAACTACTACTGTTCAATATTTGATACCAAGTCGATTTTCAAACATTTATGTACCACAACAAACATGTACAAGTATAAAATATTATAATTATTCATTTTATGTATTTATTTAAATTAATTAATTTTAATTATTGTCAAATAGATTCATCACCAAATCAATCACAGGCTGTTAAGTCTACCCAAGCATCTACTGTAATTGTGAGCACTCATAATAGCCCATTGGTTATTAATAACAAGTAAGTACATAAAATATTAAGCTCAAGTTATTCAGTTCTAATGAAATATAAAATAATGATATTTTAACAACAGATTTTCATAATTTAATGTTTTCAGTTTCTTTATTTTTATTTTTTATTATATTTTATGAAGATAATTAAAAGTATGCCATCATTATTTTTAGTGATACTGGAACTACTGCAAACGATCAGAATATTCCAGGTAATTCATAAATAAAATATTTCTTTCAACTTTAGTTTATGAATTATAACATTATTTGATTTCAATTATTAAATATAAAATAATGTTATTTATTTATACAGAAAAATGTGATCCAGATATTGTAATAAGAGCTGATAATGATGAGAATTTAATGTCTTTTGAAAAGTCTCAGTACGCGGATGCTAAAGAAAATAGTTCTCCCATAATATTTGATTTTAAAGATGATAATACCAAGGTTAATTAAAATTTTTTAAATTTTTGATAGTTATTAATATTAACTTTTGTTATAGGATGAAACAGCAAAAAATGATATTGACGAAAAGCCATTTGTTCTTGCTCCTACACCAGCACAATTAGGTAAAGCTCCTTTGCAAAGAAGACAGTCCATGGGTAAGTTATAGGTTAATCCTAGATAAAATTTGAATTTTTTTTTTTTTACTTTATTTTAAATTCTTTGATTCCTTTATATTTTTTTCAAAATTCTTTTTCTTTTTCTTTTTTAGTATCTTCAAGTCAAGATTCTTTACCAAACTCATTACCTGATAAAGATCCCGACATAAGTGAAGATGTAGCTGATGAAGTTCCTATATCACCTTCAGCTAAGCGTAGTTTTTTCAAAAAGAATATTGAAGATGGCATGGATCGTGTATTGGAACAAGTTAACTTTGAAATGAAGTTTTCATCATTACCACAATTCAAACCTGATGAATGTAATTCACCAAGTGCAATATCAGTACCATCCAGTCCCCATGTATTCAATGCTCAAACATTCCGCAAAAAACAATTACCTGATTGTGATGCTCAGGTGGAAACGCCCAAATCATCAGGAAAACTTGTTGGAAATACATTTTTTGGCCCTGATTTTAATCCGGAAGCATATAGAGGAATGTTGGAACAAGAAGATACTGTGACAGCTTCACCTAGGACACCAAAAACACCTAGTGGACGAAATGATAGTTCAGCAGCAGAAAAAGGACATAGAAAAATGTTAGAACAAAGAAGACAGTTAGTTATGACTCTATTTCAAGAGCAAGGCATGTTTCCCTCCACTCAAGCAACCTCGATATTTCAAGTAAATGATTATTTTCATACAATACATAACAGTTAAATAATTTTAAAAATAGAAGATATGCTTTTTTTTTTTTAAGTATTAAAGTCTCACTACTTTTATTTTTTCTAATTCAGCAACTGTCTTTATCACTATGTTTTTTCTCACATTACTAACTATTATTAACGGTATGGTACTTAGTCTATCAATTATTAATTTAATCTGTAAGCCATATAATAACAATGTTTACCTTCCGTTTTATACAGTTATAGACCTTAGTATTAGAAGGTAAGGCAACTCAAGGTGAATTTTCTTCAAAAATAAAACTAATTTTCAAAAGAAATGTTCCTTTTTTTATTTTAATATAATATTAATTTAATTATAATTCATATAAAAAATAAAATTGTTAATACAACTTTTAATTTCTTGTTAAAAATTTGACATTGTCTTTTTGTCATTTACATGATCTGCATAGTTATTAGGTTTAATACAGTTATATATCAAAAAATATTTCGTTGAAGGTATTATACAAAATTATTTTTAAAATATCAAATCTTGAATAAGATACACCAATTTTTTCAAATATTGTTTTGATAATTGCTCACAAAAGTAATGTATAGTGTGTCCAGTGAGAGAATGTGCCGTTTCTGTGCATGTAGAATGATGATCAAGCCATTTCCAAGGTCTTGTTCACCCCTCTTAAGCTACCTAATAGTTTTGAAGATAGCCTATTAATTATATGGCAACGATCGGTAAACAACTTCTTGATTATTCTCACTTGTATACGATACACCTGTGCACAACAAAATTATTATATTAATATGTCAATAATAAATTATTACTGTTTATCATTATCAAAATGGTCTCAGTAGGGAAACTTATGGTTTGGGGCTGGCAGGGAATGCGTAAAAATGAACTCATTTAGGTTGTGTCATAGAAAGTTCTCTCCTAGACAGAGTATAGATTTTTATTAAAATGTATTATTATAATTTCTCTATTATAAAAATACATTATTTTTAAGTATTTTATGTTTATGAATAATCTAATTAACAATATGAATTTTTTTTATAATAGGCTAATCACTCTGATATTTTCCCTAATAAATCATCATTACAACTCAAGATACGAGAAGTGCGTCAAAAGCTCATGGCTCATAATACTCTTACTCCAAGTAGTGCAAGTGCTTTAAATAGTCCTAATGAATCTTCTACAGCCAATACTCCAAGTAAGAATTTACGTTTCCAGAAGGAGCTCTTGTACTAGACTGAATTTCAACAAAAATATCTAGAACAGTAACTACTAATGAGGTGATTATATAAATAAAACAAGAGCGTGGTGTAAAATATAAAATTATAAAAATTATATTTGTGAAGTTGTAATATTGTATTTCTGAAACTAATAACCTTGCTGGAATAACGTCTCTTGGGAATTTTTAGTCATTCAACATTATTATTCGTGATTTATATTTAACACAACCTTCAATACAAATATTTTAATTAGAGGTCAATTGCTATTTTTAATATAAGTTAAATTTATTTTGCTATGCAAATAAATTAAACTACTTTAAAATTTTTATTACAAAACCTTTTTAGTTATAATTTATGAACTATCTATTACATTTGCGTTTAGTAATTTATTTTATTAGTGTATTTCTCAAAGTGAAGTTACTTATTATATTTTTTAAATTTTGATTAGTCTAAATCAACAGATTTCTTAATTTTCCTCACAATTGAATTAATTATTTTAATTAAATTATTATTAAATAAAATTACTTTTTTTTTACCTAGTATTTAACAATATTAGTATTTATATTAATATAAAAATAACCTTTCAAGTTTGTCGTTACTCCAGAAAGATCCTAAATTATTAGCGAAAATATAAAATTATCATTTGTTTTATTTATTTTTCATTTAAGGTTCAACCACGCTTCCACCTACCCAGCAAGCTCCTAGTGTTATGACATCCATTTAACATCATTATGTCATTAGTTCATTACCACTGACTTCAGATCACTTCATACTTTAAGAAATATAATTTTACCATAAATAATATTAATATCTCATGTTTAATGTTATGTGTGTAAACAAATGTCATAAATTATTATTTTTTTAACTAAATGAATGTACTAAATGTAATATTGTGCATTATTACATTTATATAATATTATTGTTTTATCAAATAGGATTAAAGAGTGGTTATTAATATTTTTATTTTTTTTATATTTTAATCAATAAATAGACTGAGGTTGAGACTCATTTATAATTATTTAACGGCACATGGTTGACACCTGTTGGCACTAAAATTTAATTATCCTTACCTCAATTAATTTATTATTATTATTTTTATTATAGTTTCGTAAAATATTATGTGTATTTATTAATTATAATAATGATATTGATCTCTAAACTCAATAGACACATCCACCACCACTTAGGTATTTCAGATTTTATTGTAAATGCTCTTAGTGTAATTATACACTTGTTATTATTACTATTATTATTATTATTATTATTATTATTATTATAGTTATGTATATTTTTTTTTTATACTTAGTGTTGTATACATATTCAATTGCTTATATATTATTATATTGTGCCATAGACTTAAATGGTTATTAATTTTAAAATCACTCGCAATATTCAAAACACTTAATATTTATTTGATTATCATAAAATGATAACTGCCTGGTTAATGTTAAAAAAATTTGAAGTTTTATATTTTTTGTCTGTTACATTTGGTTATTAAATAGTCAATGGCAAAATGTTGTGCAAATTATTTTTATTGATTATTACAACACATAAATACAATTGTGTTCATTGTAAATTATATATTAAAAAGTTGTAAGAATAATATATATATATATATATTATTTATGATTTTATCTAGTTTTATTGTTTATAATGGATTGTAAAATCTAAGCTTTTAAATGAACATCTAATTATAATTTCAACAATATATATATATATATATATTTAAAATTCATTAAACTAAAAAGCTATTTTAAACTTCTATTGTACTTAAATTTTTTCGTGTTCATTATATGTTTTTAATTTCGTATCTATTGTGTACCTTTAAAATAATGATAAAATTATAAAGAAAACAAATTTTAACTCAAAATTAATTTTACCAAACTAAAAGAAAATTATATTTTTATAGACAAAATTTGATCAAATAAGCAGTCTTGCAGTTATTTTAAAAGTATTAAGTGCCATTATGTAATAATAAAAATGTATTAAACTTAAAATGCGATTTTGCTCAACAAAAATGCATTTGTTTTTAGTTCCCGTGGGTACATTAGTATGGGTAATTTTTTAATATGAAAAACAGTTTTATTAGTTGTTTAAAAATCATATTGTATGTTGTATTATTGTACATTCATACTTTGTTAAATTATTTTAAATATAATAGTCTATGTTACAGGTTAGCTCTTTTTATATTTCTGACATCTTGTCGGAAGAAAAAATTAATTTTATTGTATATATTTATATTTTACATGCCATTGACAAGTTCAACACATATGTGTATCATTTTAGTGTACCATTGTAAATATAAACCAAATACATATATATATATATATATATATATTATAATGTTTTATTATATGAAGATGTATAAACACAAAAAATGTAATTGTTAAACATTTATAAAATGCTAATTATGTATTGTTTATTAATCGATTAATTTTTAACTATCAATAATGCTAAAAATTCTGGACGTATCAGAGGTACCTAAATAATTATTTGTTCTCAATTCACATCTTAAATTATTCTATTGTGTTAATTGTTTTTTTTTTTTTTATTTAAACAATAATGTACCGGTCTTGTCTGATTTTTTTAATTATTGCTTTTGTCTTGAAGAGCTTCCATTGATTTTTTTTTTCATTAATAGCCGCCATATTTAACATACATTATTTCATAGTACAGTGGGTACGACAATTTATAATAATGGGACCACCTGTTGTTTGTGACAATTTAAATTAATCTTATTTACTATAACATTTTTGTTGTTAAACATTAACCATAACTTATGATTAGAACTGATTTCTTCTAAACTTTTTATTAATTCTTTATTATTTTAACAATTTATATATATATATATTATATAATATCAATATATGTTTTTTTTTTAATTTTATTTATCTTCATATTACAAAATTGACTGTTTCTATTATTATTAGTTCTTTTTTTTCTACGTTACTAATTATTTTTAATTACAATATAATATATATTTTTAAACAAACAAATATTATAAGTTGTTGTTAGTCGGAAATTATTTTATAGTTATAAATGATCGATTATTGATAAATTTATTAAATTACTAATTAAAGGTAATATTATTATAATATATAATGTAAAACAAATGTATTATTTTTGTTTACTCGTGTATTGAAAAAATTGTGAAAATATGTGAAATGTTTAGATTGCCCATTTATCTTATATATATATATATATATATGTTGAAAAATCAATAATAATTTACATATAAATCAAACAACCAATATATATTCACCTTTATATTTAAAAAAATGATTACAATCCTTAAATGTTCTTGATGGTAATTATCAAAAATTATTTAAAATTAACTCAATAAAACACTAAACCATAAGTGCTGAAGGTCATTAAGCCACTTCACATTTTAAATATAAATGTATTTGTGTATTTAAGTATTTAGAAGTCTTGAAAATTAATTACACATAAAAATATAACTCATAAATGTTTAATAATCATTAAATATTATTTGCTATAAGTAAAACAGTTATTCATTTATGTTTAAAAACAGTTAAACTGATGGAGTAATGTAACAAAAAAGATAATTGTTTTATAACACCTACCCTGGACTAAGATAATTATTTTTTTTACTTAAATCTTATGTTCAAATAATTGTCAGTCTTATTATATTTCCATAACTATATTGATCTAATACCACCTATTGAACTGAATCAAACTCAATGCGTTGCCACAGATAAAAATATTAAGTAATTAAATATCTATTCATATTATGTTTAATGTAAAACAAATACATGATATAATCGTTTTGCAAACTTGATAGTTATGTATTTATTAGTTTTAAATGTATAGTAAATTGAATGAAAAATGCAGATAGATTGCATATCAGCATAATACTTGAAAATAACATGGTATTGAGACTATAAACGGAAACAACGTTGGGATTTTTGTAGATCCAAAAAATAGAAAACAAATTGGTTTTGACAATCCACACAAAGTTATTATGAAAACGAACTTTTTATGAAAGCAAATTAAACCAAAAAATAATAACTTTTTTAATATCGACCAACTGATTTTATTACGTAATATTTGTAGGTATCCATTAATTTATTTATCGAAATATTAGAACACATTTTACACCTGTCATCTTAGTAAAATTACGTGAACAGACAAAAAAAAAAATTTGACTAAATATTGTACTTAATATAATTAGTATATATGCCTTTTGCTGTTATATTATAAATCTCAAGGCGTAGCGTGTGGCCAAATGACGCAACTGCCTAATTTAAATGTCATAATATAAACTCCTGCTATGACCGTCATATTGATCGTATATTTAAAAATAAATATTTTTCATACTTATATAGATGCACGGGCGCATACAAAAGAAACTTTCTTTAATACATAACATTTATCTAGGGAATATATATTATAATACAATTTTATCTTGTTAGAGATGAATATGCTTATATATTCTTCTCCCCTTAATTTTGAAATTATGTTTCTCAATTTTGCCATTTTCAAGAATGAAGATGTTTTAACTAATTTTTATTAAGTTTATTCTAAATTAAGTAAGAAAAGTATGAATTTTATCGACAGGAGTAGGCTTTGGCCCACACTTTGAAAAATGATGACCCACTCAGCAATAACAACAGATTCTTTAACAGAATAGGTGTTTAATTAATAATGTTTTAACGATCCAATCGGAGTACCGAATAGACTTATAACTTAAATGTATCATAATATAGTATGTAATTATAATAACCCGGTATCTATAAATATATAATATATAACCAGGTATATAAATTATATAATTATAGTAAATATCAAAATATCATTCTAACATATCCACTACAACATGATTTAATTTACAATACAATATTTATTAAGATTTAAGGACTTCGTATAGGTACTATATTATACTCTAGAATTAGGATAAGTTCCTCAGCTTATTGAATTAAAGGGCAAACGTACATAAATTGCGCCCGGTATTTTTCAGGTATAAATTTTTGTGCCGTAATTTGCACTCGATATTTTTCAGGTACAAATTTCTGAATAGTAAATTGCGCCCAATAGAAATATTAATCTTTATGATAGTCATATAGCATTACCCAGAGGACACCACGAAAAAATGATTATCACTGTCCTCCAAAAATGTTTTTTTTTTTTTTTGTTTACTTAAAATGAATAAATTAATTAATAAAAATAAGAAAATTTTTTTATTTTTTTTTTAAATATGGTATTAACTATAGTTTTTTAAATATTTTTTGTTAGGTTAAAAATGTAAATCATAAAAAAATACAGTTATAAGTTATCTGCATAATAATGAGACATCATCTTCACTGATTCAGCCCTCGTAATTGTGTTTTCATTGTATTATTGAATAAATTTTGATTTGGTGTTTTGAAATGTAGGAATAAATGAAATGTATGAACCTGTAAGGTTCATTTATACTATTAATTTTTATATAAATTTCAGATTGTAACTCTAATATTTTATCCGTGCAATTATAAATATAAGGCGGTTACTTAGATAGTAGATACTATGGGCGCAATTTACTCTACCTATTTTAGAACCAAAAAAATCCCGGGCGTAATTTACTATAGTATTTTAGTATTTTTTAGTACCTACTTAATCTGAGCGTAATTTACAATCATCCGAATTAAATTATTCTAATAAGTTTTTTTTTTTTACTGTTTAATCGTTGAACCTATAACGAATATGCCTTCATATTTTTTGGGCAAAAATTTTCTGAATTTTTTTAGGTAAGTACCTATATCGTATACCTTTGGACATAATTTGCGTAAGAACGAACAGTTTATACTGACTAAAATTTATGAAGTAAAACCGGGTTCACACTATACCGTGACGTGTATTTTACCAGACCGTGTGCTTTGAAAACGTGTGATACCAATATATATCTTAT